TTCCATACGATTCGGAAGTTGGGGTCTCCAAAATGGCCGTTTTGTAGGCGTCCACAGCTTCTTCAGGTGATGAAAATCTCAGTCCACGCAATTTATTCTTCATTTTAGGGAAAGTATATAAATCATTAGGGCTTAGGTCGGGGCTGTACGGCGGATGGTCTAATGATTCTATGTTTTCTTGCTCTAAAAACTCTTTTGTTCTGTGTGCGGTGTGAGAACTCGCATTGTCGTGATGGAGGATGATGCGGCGGTTGCAGTTCTCTTTACGGAGTTCAGAAACGACCTGTGGCAAACAAATGCTAGCATACCATTCTGCATTAACCGTTCTTTGTCCCTCAAGAGGAATAGTCGTAACATGGCCGGTTTTGGAGACAAACGTGGCCACCATTTTTTTGCAACACTCCGTGAACGAACAATATTTGTTGGCTTTAACTCATTTTCGAACACCCAAACTCGTGACTATTTTTTTGTTTCGGGTTCGTACGCGTATATCCAGGATTCGTCACCTGATATGATGTTGTATACAGCATTTGATGATCCTGCGTGGAGATTCCAATTGAATTTCGCGGTATGTCACATGTCGATCTTCCTCAATCAGCTTACGCACAGCATCAACATTTTCTTGGGTGACTGCAGTTATTGGACGACCTTGACGGGGATCATCACTGAGCTTGACACGTCCACGTTGAAATTCAGCAAACCAGCGATAAATTGTGGTTTTGGATGGGGCTTCATCACCAAATGCAGAAATCATCCGGTCAATACACTTCGAAAGTCATAATAAATCATCGCTCTTGAATTTTCTCGAGTCAATTCCATTTTCTCAATGACTAAACAAGTTTGACAAAACCTTGTGACAAGACCGAGAATCTTTTTTTAAATAAATAAATGATATTCCATTTTTAAAACCAAGGACTTTTCAATTAAAAAGATTTTAATATGACAGGAACAGTGGAAATATTCCATTCCCGATACTTTTAGTACAGCCTATGTATTCGACGCCTTTGTAATTGCGGTATAACGTATAGTTAGACGCGAACTTTTGCAAGTAATCCAATAAATGTCGTTGTATTGCTTTACGATTTCTAAACTAAGTATTCCTTTGGCATTGAGTTTTATTATAATAGATTGTTTTCAATTGAATACTTGAGCAATAAATTTTCGTTTGCTTATTGTTTTTATATTGCACCAAGTGTTCTACTTTAGTTTTGTATTATTTTCATACTATTCCATAAGAGAATAAAAGTGGGATACTTATACTTTGGGATACATCTGGTTAGATATAGATAGGGTAGAGCCATGCTGCAGCTATATTAATAGTATAGTTGTAGCACGAATGGGTCGGCTCGATCGGGGAGTGACCACGCTCTCACAGAATACCAGCGTAAAATAGCAGCTTAATGCTGCTGTGTTTCGTATGGTGAGTGTAGAGAACCGGAGACCCATTTTACTGGAAAAGAGGCATTCTATCTTAGTCCTCACGGCTGACAACGCATCTGCATTTTAATTCGCAAACGAAGATAGATGTAGATGTCTATAGGCCACAGCAACCACTTACCATCAGGTGGACTGTGTACTCGTTTGTCACCCTTATCTTATAAAAAAAATCCGATTATCTACCCTAAAGCTAGGAAGTTTAATTTGATTTTAATACAATACGTAATATCATTTATGTTTAAGTTTCATAATTAAAGTGTAAGTATATTTATTCTTAAACTGTACTTGGGGTAAATAGTCTGAAGTACAATCGAAAATGAATTCCGATTATCCAGCCCGTCTGGGGTGAACAGGTGAACACGCGTTTCCGAGTATCCACCCTAGGGTGGATGTTATAAGGTGGAAAAATGAAATAACCCGATACATCCCGAAGGAGAATACATACTTTGTGCAATATGAAGGATAATTAGACGGACCAAACATTTAGACGGACTTTTAGCCAAAAAAGCTCTAAGAGCACACTTACATTTTTTTGCCGCTAAATAGCGTCGCAATCAGATGAGTATACAGAGCCAGTATAATTACAGGATGTGAGGCACTTTATCTTAATCCAGAAGCATCTGTAGCCTTATATCTTTGAAGTAGGCTAAATGGACTGCAGTAGCCACTTGCCATTAGGTGGAATGTAAATTTGCTTATCACTCCTTTGTTTTATATAAGAAACTAGCTGTGCCCTGCGGTTTCACCCGCGTCATCACGTGTCCGAGGTCCGCGACATGACCTAGTTCTAGCATTTTATAACGGCTAGGGTTTAAGCGTCGTTCGCGCGCCCAGCCAAGTATTGAATTAGTTTAATTTTACATTATCTCTTATAAACTATGCGTCCAAACAACATGGTATAAAAATCAAAGTTTATCTTCATAAAATTGTCTTGATGATGAAGTAACTTTCGTTCGTAAGGGTAAATAGGCGATGTCTAATAATAACGCTCATAAATCACTTTTAAATTTTCAATATTTTTTTGTCAGTAAATTCCAAATTATGGCTTATCCGGCCGGTGGAAGAAAAAGGGGAGATCTCCCCTTTTCCTTCCTACGGCCACAGTGGTATGGGTTGCGTGTTTAGATCACGTTGGGGTCACCACTGTGGCCGGTGGAAGGAAAAGGGGAGATCTCCCCTTTTTCTTCCACCGGCCACAGGTTGTGTTGTACGTTTCAGAGTAGGTTTTAGCCTCGAAACATCAACTTAGTAGACGGTTAGAAAAGCCATGGAATTTCTGTTCCATATCAGTAATCTATATTATAGTATTTTTTTAGAATTTTCATTACATGTATTTTAGATGACACACGGATCCATTATTCTATTTTAGAACACTATTTTATAATTATTGCATAAAAAATAAAAACTAGTAATAATATCGTTTCGGATTCGGATTTTGTAATAAATTTTTAACATACCTAATCAAACCACAGCAAAAAGCAATTGGCACGGTCGTTGTACCGGTCAATCAAGTCTAATGTCATATAGCGTATAACTCGAACAAGGTACGGCTTAACACTCGAAAGTATGCAACGTTCATTCATTCAGAACCAGGTTACTTCATACATAAATTCCGTGATAAACATTTATAGTTTTTAAACAAAAAAAAAATTAAATATCTCATATTCAATATATTAAACAAAAAAAATTAACAGGCCTCGTAGCTAAAATTAAAAGCTTATCTTTAGCAGCAGACATGATAGATCTGTACCCAGCAGTCCGTCCGTATTAATACTGTAGCTTTACTTTTAATCTAGCTAAGAATATTTCAAATCCAAATAGTTATATATTCTAATAAAATCATTTTTGACAAATATAATAAATTAAAAGTAGGTATAGTAAAACAATTGGTATACAGTAGTATCTTAATAGTATCACATACTATAATAGGTGGTAGGGTTCTTTTCTAACTCCAAGCAGCATTGCACCCACCACTACGTTTCGGTATAAAGAGTTAGAGAAGAAATATAATTACAATGCGATTAAAACAACAATACAAAAGATATTTCGCCTTTTTGTGATATTTTAGCTGCCAATATAAATCAGTTAGGTTGAGTGAATAAACTATTTTTGATAAAATATTTGTCAAAAATAATCAGTCATAATGAGTATAACATTTCAAAAGAAAAAGTTTTAATCTAAATCTAGCTCTTGAATTCCATTCCATCATCCATCCGTGATCGTTATAATATTAATTATCACTCCTTCTTTTCTCTTTAAATAAGCCTAAATTACCCTATTTGGTGCCATATTGAATTTTTATTTTTATTTTGATTTTTAATTTTGATGTCTTTAATGACACTCACAAGATTAAGACAAATCGAGTGGCGTAATAATCATTAAAATCGGTCTCTAGAGTGCGATAAAAGAACAAACATACATACATACATCATCATCATAACAGCCCTTAACTAATCCACTGCTGAACACAGATCTTTTCAAGGAATGCCACAAAGCACGGTCCTGAGCCACCTGCATCTATTGACTTCCTGCATGTCTTACTATGTCGTCACTCCATCTAGTGGGACGACGCCCTACACTTCGCCTGCCGGTACGAGACTGCTACTCGAGAACCTTTCTTCCCCATCAGTTGTCCCATTGCCACTTCAGCTTACTGCACTGTTGGGCTATGTCAGTTACTCTGGTTCTACTATGGGTATCCTCGTTTCCCTCATACAGCCAGCAGTGAAGGACCACATCTCAGATCCATAGGTCATCCATAGGTCACTGGCAACACGCACTGGTTGTATAATCTTGTTTTGAAGTTTTGAGGTATGGCTGACGGGAAGATGCATCGTAATCTCCCGAACACTGACCACACGAGTTGAATCCGTCAAATGAGTTCTCGGGCGAAGTTGGACTTTCCTAGTCGGACTATTTATCCCGATACATATACATACATACATATGATCACGCCTCTTTCCCGTAGGGGTACGCAGAGACCACTTCTTTCCACTTGCTACGATCCTTACATACTTGTTTCGCTTCGTCCACTTTCATTATTCCCTTCATACATGCTCTACGGTTTAGGGTACTCTTGACCTGGCCTTTTTTCAAGACGTCCCTGATTTGGTCTTGAAATGTCCGCCTAGGTCTACCCCTCCCAACACTTTCATTCACACTCGCCTTATACACCTTTTTCGTCAATCGTTCTTCATTCATTCTCTCGACATTGCCAAACCATCTCAGCATAACCTACATATATAGTCTGATAAACATATTATGCTCCTTTGCATCGCGCAGTAGGGTAAATAAAACATCAAATTATGTAGGTATCTAAAATATCCTACTGATCGTTCTTTAAAAGAAAGCTCTGTACTAAAACTTATGTTCACATCATTATCTTCAAACATCTCCCTTTGTCAGTATTCATTATCAATTTGTTTAACGTAGTTTAGCTCTTTCTGCTAGTTAATTGAGGTGATTTGCAATTAATAAATGTTATAATGCAAAAACTAAATAAAATAAGTAAAACAAGTATCAAAATAATTTTCTAATTATATATTTAATTGTTTCAGATATGTATGCTGTGCGCAGTCACAGCCTACGCTCAATATGACTCACCTACTCCCCCAAGGCTCCAAATCCCAGGAGCCATCCCATTAGGCGGCCCCAGACAGGGAGGTTTCAGACAAGGAAGACTACAAGCAGCCATCCCACTTCCTGGTGCCATTAATAGAATTAGGAGACCTGGGTTAGCTAGACCATCCTTTAAATCCGTAGATGCATCTCCTCGACCAAATCTGCAATCGCTTGAAGAGCCTGCAAAACCAGTCACAGAAGAACCAGAAGAAGATGTAGAAATTAATACACCCACAGCTTTTATTTCGAATGCTTACTCCACGGCCGAACCGCAAAGTGATTTCTTCGATATCACAACTACTTCTCAACCTAAGCCACCAATTGCTTACAACCCTACTCCATTTACTCAAACAACCCCTTCACCGCCGAGACCAGAACCTATCAGGCCTACACAATACAGACCGTCACCTCAATCATTTGTACCACAAAGAAACGAAGCACCGTCCAGGCCTCAACCAGTTCGGCTTCAACCTTTGTCAAGTCGACCCCAGCGCCCAGCATTCCGACCCGAGCCAAAACCATTTATTGATGAAGAAGAAGTACCCATTCAACCCGTTAGACAATACACTCGTCCGCAAGAACCTATCAGTCGAACCCCTGTCAAGACTGGTACTCAGGAAAGATACACACCATCAAACTCCAGGGAAAAGAAACCAGTAGCTCAAACTATTAGAAAATATAGAGAGGAAAACGAAGATGGAAGCATCACATGGGGCTTTGAGAATGACGACGGATCATTCAAAGATGAGACCATTGGTGTTGACTGCATAACTAGAGGCAAATACGGCTACATTGACCCCGACGGTGTAAAACGCGAATACCATTACGAAACTGGTATCCCTTGTGATAAAGCAAATGAAGACAAGGAACAGAAAGGTTTCATTGATTATCAGGAAAACAAAGCTGTATTGCCTAACGGCATCACCATTGATCTCGCAGCAATGGGCAAAAAATCTAAGAGGCCATTCAGATCACCGAGTGTTCACTAGTTTTTAAGTATGTAACTATATTTATTTTAGGAAAAACTATCATTAAGTAACGTTTTCGTTTTTAAATAAAGAAAAGTCAATACAAACATAAGTTAAAACAACTTATGGTTGTTTTGCCTAGTTCGTGACTATTTGTCTCATACACGAAAAACAAAAAGAAAATATAAATATTACAAATAAAACAAAAAAATCTTATTTCTTACTTCATACTTTATATATATCCTTGGCACATATAGTTTTATATATATAGCAAATATAGTTTTTTCCGGAGTGACACCTATCTAGATAAACTTGGAAACATTATCCAAATACAAAATTATATCAATCGTTAGAGCTGTGTCCGAGAAACTAATTACCATATTAAAAACGTAGTTTTTTTATAATTTCTAGTTAAAACTATGGTATCAGAAGTATTTTCTCATGAAAGAAGTCCTTCAGCCGCGGCGCCAGTCTGCGAAATATTAAAACTGTCAAATTCCATACTTTAAATTTTAGTTCGCATATTTTCCACGCAAATTCTTTATGGAAACAGATTCTAGTTTTAGCTTGAGATTAACTATTTAAACAATTTTTTTCTGTACGTTGATATTTTCTTTAACTTTAATTGGGATATACTGCACCATCGATACAGATGACAAAACAACAAATTTTTGGGAAGTTGTCTATCTGTCTGAACCAAAGAGCATAAACTGTAACTAAACTTGAGTATAAAATGTAACTGACCTATACAGGAAGTCACACTGAACACATATCACACAAAAACCTGAGAACGTATTTGAATTGGGCTTTCACTATAACTGTAGTGGCGGTATAAGAATACCCACTATACCTTATCGTCCCGTAGGTGTCGTAAGAGGCGACAGGGGGAAACAAATCCAGGAGGGCAGCAGCGTCTTTCTAATAGCGACTAAAAATAAAAAATATAACTGCGGTTGACAAACCGCTTATCAAGCGTGGCAACTAAAGCAAATATTCCCGCTATGAAGTAATCTATGGGGGAGGCCTATGTTCAGCAATGGACATTAATAGGCTGTGAGGTTAGAGGATATTGTTACAGTTAAACAATCAGAATAAATATAAAACATCACGCTATTTTAGGAGCTGTGCAGCAGGCATAATTAGCTTTCAACATAACGTTACTAATGAGTACAATCGATATAATCCCCTTCTTTTATCCGACTGCTGCAATGCAAAAAAGGCACATAGTGTTTTTAGATATAAATGCTGATCTTTACTCTCAAAGGCGGAATAATATTAATATGTCCTCCAAACCGAATATCAACTTCGGTAGTTAGTGCGACGGAGACTAGCCAAATGCGTAGGATAAGATTACAGCGTACAAGTGTGAACGCAAGCACAGGTGCACGAGATAGATCAAGACACTGGACCAACAGCTTTAGGTGATTGTCGAGGCGCCAGGGTGAAACACCGTCAATTTCCCGACTCTGGGCTGCTACTACGAATTCCCTGACAGAAAATCCCAACAAGTGATTTTATTGCCCGACCTAGTACTCGAACTCGCGACCATATGACCGGTATTAGCGCATGCGGCAACTAGGAGGCATTCAATAGTCGAATAAGTATATGCTAACGTTTACTTTATTGTGTATTTCTTAAAGGTTAGGTTATACATTTTTCCTAAAGTAGCGCTACCTGTAAAATCACATATATAACGGTTTTTAAATTAGAGAAGAGTTCGCTGTGCTACCCTACTGCGTGAAAGAAATTGCGAACGTTAATTATTTTTCTTGTTTTTTTTTTACACAAGGGCCCTCACGATGTCTTCCTTTAGGTACCACCGAGCACATATTGATCTACCATGTATCAATGTTAACAATTCCATTGGTACCTCATCGGCGATACGAAATCTGTTCCAGTGGTGACTCGCAGTAAGCTCCATAAATGACGGCTTTACTCTCATTAAGAAGAAACATGTCTGAGAATTGGTTGAGACCTGTCCTGTACCCAGTGTGGGACTGCCAAGACAACCGCTAGTAAATATATGTGAGCCCATCATACATCTCTACCTTTCCCCTTTTGATAAAAGTACATAGAGAGAAAGAGAAGGCGTCCTGAGCTTCGTCGTATAACGTAGCCGATACCGCAAGTAGAATCCAATCGCTATACATTTGCAGCGTCTGGAGTTCAATAAGTCAACGTATTGCTAATTCTACGTACTCCAGGTTTCCGCAAAACATCAACAGATAGTATCACTAATACAATTTGTTAATATGTCTCAGTGCAATAGCTCTATCATACGTGGATTGTTGGTTACTGGCGTCTTAACAGCGTGCTACTACGTTGGTGCTATTTTTAATTAACAACATTACCAATTTTGTTGCCTAAGTCAATAGGGATCATGTGGGTATGTTGTGAGGGGGCGCCATCCGTATGATAGTTGCATTGATGCTTACTGCTACTTGCGGTATTGCGTCTTGTGATGGATTTGCGGGTGTGCTGAGCTTGATTCGACGCATATTTTGGTTCTGATCGTTGGAGGTATGCGGGTGTGAATGTCTGCTGGGATCGTATGGGGGACCTTGTGATGGCGTAAGCCCAACGATATTCGTATTGATGCTTGTTGCGTTTTGCAGCATTGCATCTCTGCGATGGTTATTTTGCGGGTCGCTATTCTCAATGGCGCTCTCTGCGTTTTGGGTTTGACTTACACCTAAGTAGCTTTGCCCAATTCTGGTCCCTTCATGACGGGGTTGTAGACTGTCTGACCTCTATGATGTTATATATAGCAACAATAAAGTATCTCTGTAAATTTCCCACCTTTGAATTGATTGAAGGCAACTTGTTGGTGGGTGAGTACAACATGATAAAAAATGCACATACACAAACACTTTTTGATGGCGAATTATTATTATTATATTATAATTGCCTTTTGGCTATATCTGCCGTTGTTTTGGTTGATGGAGCATATGTGTTGACCTTGCGACCGAAAGCGGCTCAACGTGGTACCCCATTCCCTTGAGGTGAGCGGTAGACTTATGACACGCTCTATGTATAGAAGCCGTGCTGACCATGCAATCGGTGGTGATGCGTTACACTTACATAACATCTGCACTAGCGTCGGTCCGGCAGGTGGTGGCGCTCACGAAGGGCTTTTTATGGCCAGTGTGCCTATTATTTCGACCTGTGCCTTAACCGTGTGTACGTACAACTGTAGCTGGATTTGATCGTATTCTGTATGGTGTTTACACGTATTGACACGTATGGTCGATGTTTGTGCATACGTACTACGAAGGCGCCAAGCCCTCTTTTACTGGTTCGCCAATTATTTTGCTGTGGACTACGGTCCAAAGCTCTACATCCATCTTCGGGGGGAGCGCGTTGGTTGGTTTGCGCTCACCGCGCACGGCGTGTGTGGAGGTGTGTACCTCTGAACATTTTTCTTTAAATGTTGGACAGCGAAGCCCCTGGTATCGTATATTTTATATAAATATTATGAGCCTTGTCCAAGTGAGAACGGATTAATTATAAGGAATACATTGATGTAAACCTGATACAAGTGGAAGAGTGAACGATTTAAAGATCTTAAACTTTGTGAGCCCTTTCTTCGTGAACGGGGTCTTTAGCTCAAAAAATAAATATAAGGCACTACCAACGGCTTTCGATTGTTCTAAATATTCATTCTTCCAAGAGACACCTAAAAGAACTAAGTTACTTAAAAACACAACGTATAGAGTCCAAACTAAGACGATCACACCATAACAAACGACCTATAACTTTTGAAAAATTCGAAACATATGCAGTAAAATCCTGAAATTAGTAAAACAATTCATGCGTTGCAAAACTGTTATCATTATGATGATTTGATACCAAGATCTGTCTTGTGATAGTCTTATCACACTTCTATCATTACCATGATATTTCTGTCAATAAAAACTCAAAGGGGTCAAAAACTAAACTTTATAACTTTAATAAAGATATATTTTCCACCTCGCCAGTTTATGAAAGCAGGGCTTTAAAACAAATGGTCATGGAGTGTTCTATGTCTATGCTATCAACCTACACAATAACAAGTACTTTTTCAATCTTGATAACTTTTGTTTTCTTTTTTCACTTTCCACACTACACTACAAGAAATAGTATACAAACATGTAATACTATTCTTCTCTTCTATTGGCATCAAAAAAGAGTTTTACTTTTTTTATTATTTTCTTTCAAAATATAAAGGAAAATAGTTTGCAATATTTTTAGCCACTTTAAGAAACCTCCCCCTTTTCTTAATTCAACTGTAATACGAGTTTGTATGTATGTTAGTATGTTCTTTTTTGTATGTTATGCAATATCTTGGTCCATTGTGAATGTTTATTAAAAAACCTAGCAAGCTAACAGCATAGCAAAGTGGCGAAGCAATCAGCTTTGTAGCGGTTTCTAAAGGTTAACGTTGAGCAATCAGTTTCAAAATAGGAGGTTCAGATGCCTGGGTGATCAGTAATCGATTGCTGAAAACAGAATTTGAAAATTCGAAACCGTTCTCGAGATAATCGTGGGACAGACGGACAGACGGACAGATGGACAGACGGACAGACGGACAGACATCGTGAAATCAATAATTGACTTCGCAAGCTTCGCCACTTAATAAAGTAAATTTTAATGTTGTCCTCAAAATTCATCAAGGCGGACTGTCCACCTAAGTAACGACAATTAAACCAACTAGGAATAAAAAAATTTTTACATAATGGCAACGCGCTTACTCTACTACAAAAAGCACGTGTTCTTTATTTGCCTTACTTTTGACTCAGTTTGTTGCTTTGTGTAGTGAGGTTAACAGGTTAGAAAAATTTTTCCATTGAGAACGCTTCATTATAAGGTAAGTAATAAGTTTTTCACTCTTTCATGCTTCTAGATTTATTTTCTAGTTATCAACTAATAATAAACCTAGCAAGCTAACAGCATAGCAAAGTGGCGAAGCTATCAGCTTTGTAGCGGTTTCTAACGATTGCCGTTGAGCAATCAGTTTCAAAATAGGAGGTTCAGATGCCTGG